CAAGCATGAACTTTTCGCTGCAGCTCCTTTATGCCTCCTTCGCCCACATTTGCCACCTACAGTGGTGGTGGTGCATTGAAAATTGGCCGTCTTCTTGCCTCCATTTTCTTTAACCCCCGAACGCCCCCAGGACCCACCCCCTTAGCGCTCCTTAACCCTTGTCTCATCCTCTCCTCCACCGCTGGCTGCATCATAATTCGCTATTAGAAGTCACTTAAAAAGTTTTCCAAGTTTTCCAGGCAGCTGCCAACATTGTTGTCAGCCACGCCCACCCCTAAACCCACTAGCCCCTCTTCGTTCAGGCGCCTCCTCTGAATTTCCTTGGCCAAAACGTTGTGGATGGTGGTGCGATGGAAAATTATTTTAATGTCTCTGGGGATGCAATTTTTTAATTGAATAATTGTAGGCATAATGTCAAGGATTTTTGGAGGAAAAATAAGTGGGTTTTTAGTTTAGTGCACTGTCAAAAAAAACGTAGTAAACACAAGTATTTTATATCCAATTTAAATTTTTATTGCTTCGATTTTGATTTCAAACCTAAATTGTGTTTGTAATATTTATTTTGATTATTTTTGGAATAAATTTTAATATAAGAAAATCTAGTTTAAATTTAAACCATATTCAACATTTAATTTAATGCCTTTAATCAAATACAGAACCCTTCTAAAATCTAAATTCGAATTCACATTAATTCAAATATTTTATACATATATGCAATTAGATATAACATAAATATAGACTATTAAATTTTGTATTCAATTGCCAAATGTTTATATTTACTATGCTTTTTTTTGTATCAGTGTATAAGAAAAGCGTTAACTTTCCACTGTTTTTCTGTAAAATATAAGCAAGGATGAACAAAAGATAATTTTCAACGCTATTAAAGTTCAAGAGATTAAAATAGAAAAAAGTTATTTAAAATTTCTAAAAATTTTATAGAATAATTAAAAATGTAATAACAAAGCTTAATTAGAAAAGTAAAAAAAAAGTTAATGAAGAGGACTAAGCTCCTGAATGCTTAATGATCACTAATCCAGAGAATTTAATTTGCAGCTGAAATGAAATTGCTGTCTGCAGTGGAATAAAACTACTATATGTACCATATGGCTGTTCAGTTCCGATTCAGCTTTAATTTCCTCCGCTCGAATTTCCTTGGGATAATTGCCAGTTTGTTCCTTCCACCTCTTTTTCGGATTAAGCCCTCCTTTCTGCCTGCAATTGGCAGACATTAATGGGTTAATTTGCATTAATATATTCAATTGGATGGCGTTTGCCGCTGGCGGCGGAAAGCTTGGTGTTTCTGAAATGACTCTTTTGATTTTTTTTTTTTAATTTAATCTTTTTTTTGTTTTGGATGGCACTTTTGTTGTTGTTCTTTTTACACTGTATAATTCGATTTGCCAACGCATTGCAATTAAATTTATTTTCCAGCCAGCCAGCCAGCGAAAGTCCTGCTGCCACTTTTCGTCCTGAAATGCATAATTGCATTTTAAGCGCTCACAAACAAAGACAACGAATGCGCACCCATTCCCCGCCGCCGCCCCCTTTTGAATATTCGCACAATTTTCCCCTCATTTTCTCATCGTTTTACACCACAAGTCAACTGAAGCTGAAATCATCATTAAAGTAATTATAACTGTCATTGAAAGGCTGGCTGCCTGGCAAAGTGAAGATAAGGATTAAGAAAGGGGAAAGGTAATAATTGGCAATTTAAACATCGCCTTTAATGAGCTACCTAAATTTTCCTAACAAAAAACAAAACAAATTCTTTTAAGCGGTTATGTTTTCCTTCCGAATTCAGATGAGTTTTATTTTTCCTTCTTGCCGAAAGCAAAAGTCCAGACAATGACCAGACACTCTCGCCCTCCTCCTTTCCCCTTTATATACATATTTTGCTTCGACGGGGAAAATCATCGCTGTGGACAGCGCGCTTTTCCTTCACTGCCTCTTCCCTTCAGCTTTTCTTTAACGCCTGGGTGCACTTGTTTAGCGTTTGGGCACTCGGTTAGTGATTAACGTGATGTGCTTATGACCACAGTGATCACTGGCATAGAAGAAGCCATACAAAACACTTTTTCGTGTTATAAAAGTTTGTACCTAAGTTCACAAAAATTCGTCACGGGAATTCTTGAGCTTTGGCCACAAGGAAAAATAATCTAGGAAATCCGACGTTTATATAGATAAAGATTTTTATACATTTAATTCGAGTTCAAACTCGATTTTCATGCAATATTTTAAAATTTATTTTTCAAATTGTTAAAAATTCTTGTAAAGGTAAAAGAATAAATAAAATAATAAGATGCATGTAAATTAATTTCCAAGATAGTTTCGAGTAGTTAAAATTCGTTTTTCTTTGGCAATACATTTTTAATAAAAATATAATTAAGAACAATCATTTGCTTTAATGTATTAACGATGTAATTTTATATTAGCGAGGTATTACTGTGTTATCTATTGTTTTCTTGTGTGGCGCTTAAAGTTTTTTCCTGTCTGTCTTTAATGTATAGATTTTTTTTTATTTCTATAGTGGTTTCTGTTGCATTTTATCTTTGATGATTCTTCTTTTGCTTGTTGACTTTTCTGTCTTACGGGATATATACACAGATACGTATTTCTTTTTATTTGGGTATTTGGAGGAACTGTTTAACTACGGTGAACGTAGCATGACGGCAAGAAAAGAAGAAAGAAAACAACAACAACAGCCATAAGGAAGTCAAAGGTTCTTTGCGTTTTAATTGAAACTTGCCGTTCCACACGCGTCCAAGCAAAACAGTTAGAAAGAGATGGATGGAAAGTGGCTAACGGAAAGAGAGGGGGATAAAACAGGAGTGGGATAAAAGCGACATCTGGGCTTATTATGTGAAATTTTAATTAAGTTCACCAAAGTGTAGATAGTGACAAACAAGAAAAATTCGAAATTCGATGACACAACCCGAAAATACACTTTACACAATTGAAGTGCCTTTAAGTGAAGAGCAGGTCAAACAAATATAAAATAAAGAACACTACACGCAAAACGAAACCGAACTAAACTAAACATTTTTTGGTGTTTGGTCAGTGACCTTGACCTTGGTGAGGGGTGAGGGGTGTTGGGGGCTGGGGGCTGGGGCCGCCCATCGAAGGTCAGCAAATAGCGTTTTTAGCTTCGTTTCGGACGCATTCAAATTGAAATGCCAATTGGGATGCAATACGCGCTTAATTACACAACATTTATGGAAACGAGTACGATAGTGTCTCAAAGTCAAGAGCAAAACGCAAAGGAAGAGCAAAAAAAAAAAAAAAAAAAAAAAACAAACAACGCTATCCGAAGATTAAATACCCTTCAAATTAGCATATATGTAAATTTACTAGCCATATCGTTTATTTGTCAACTTTTATATCGATAGCTTTGACATTTAAATAAATTTAAAAATTATTAATCCTCTCTGCACTTATTAAAAAGTTTTATACTAAATGGTATAAAATAAAATTAATAGTACCCTCTCTAAGGGTATACAAAACGCAAATAGTATGTCATCGAACTCATTAAAATGCTCGGTATACGCATCTTATTTCTTTCATAGAACGAAAGATATATACAACTATTTGTTTTCGTATTCGATTCATAATTAATAACTAATAATAATTAATTACGTTGGCTAAGAGTAAATGTTAACTTAACATGGAATTCTGCGTCAGCGAACCTGTTCGACGGTTCGAAGCACCTAACAACAATCAAACTGTTGCGCTTGCAACCGACAGTTGCGCACGCGTAGGAGGCTGCTTCAAACCGGGCTTGATGGCGCTTCGAACCCGCCAACGCGGCGAACAACAACAAACCGCTTGAACGGGTCAGTTATTAGTGATGGCGCATAAGCCATCGAACATCTAGCTTTTCGGGGATATTTTATGATGTTAAAATTAAAATGCATTCATTTATTTAGAATTGTTATCATATTATCAAAGAAACACCTGATTAAATTTAAAATCCTTTCATTTTCATCAAGCTTTTAAGGGTAAAAGCCCTGAAAATATTTTTCAAAAGCTTTGTTAAAAGTTATTGTTAATAAGATTATATATCGTAATATCGAAAAAAAATCATCATACAGCTAATTCGAATATATTTTGCTGAAAAAGTTGCAACGCAGTAAATATATATTTATGTAATGATATACATATTTATGTAACTTCATTGCTTTTAAGCATTAATACATATACTCAAATATATCGTATTTTGTTTAAATTTCAAATGCTCGATTTCAGATAATACTATACATTGTATTTGTGTACTTGTTAGTTTTCTATTGATAAAAGCCATTAGGTAACAAATTAACAATGGGCAATAAATTAGAACAAGATATTTTTTTTTAATTTAATCGAAAGCTTACACTGTGGGTGTAATTTTTTTTTTTGTTATTATATATATAAATTTGATTTAATTCCATCACTCTAATTCATTTACAACTTCAAATCATTTTCCTTTGCTATATAGCTAAATTTGATTCAAACATATTTGCCGGTATATCGTTTGAAACATTGAGGTTCGACGCAGTTGGCCGTGGTTGCGTGTTCGCTTGCAACCGCAAGAAAACCGGTGCCATGAAACCGAAAAACACAACAACGTTCAGTCGAACAACATTTTTCAACGCGCGCGGTTTGCGTCGCTCTTCGATTTGTTTGATGGTTGATTTAAAAGTCAAGTCGTCGCAAATTTTGGGTCCAACTATTGAAGGTGTTTTTAAGTTAGCCAAGTGTTAAAAGGACAACAAAACGGAGTAAAATAAAAAACTGCTGTTTCACGTGCTTCTCATCGCGCTCTCTTTCGCGCGCTCGTGTGTGTTAGTGTGAAGTATAAATATTTTTTTTATCTCACTGATCAATCGAATAAAACAAAAAAAAAATTCCAGAAGAGAATACAAGTGCCTTTTTTTTTGTTGTATACCAAAATTATTTAATTTTTTTCGAGTGGAAATGTGCTGTTTTTAGTTTTTGGAAAATACAACAACAACAAAAAAAGAGAAGAGGCAAATAAGAAAAGAGTAAAAAGAAATAACAAGTTGAAAGAAATTCAAAAAACCGGATTCCCAACAACAACCACACAACAGGCAAAGAAGCAGCATCAAAAGAGAAGAGGAAGAAGAAGAAGCAGCATTAAATTTGTTGTCGCGCACACACGCACTGGAAAGCCAGGAGAGTAGAGGATCATCATTCCAGGCAGCTGCTTCTCTCGCTCTCTGGAAAAGTGCAAACAAGGAGAAGGTGAGTAACATATTTTCCTTTGCCTCCTCTTTTCCAAGTATTTAATTGCGGTTCTTTTCTGGAAATCTATTTGTTTTTGAGTTTCCTTTTAAAAGCATGAAAAAAATATGATAAAGAGAGATCATTCTGGAAAGGATTGGTTCCTTTCTTGTTAAATTTTTTTTGGTTGTTTTAAGGAAAAAACTGTATTCAAAAATCAAAATCAAATCTGGTTTCCCTAAACTAAAACTTCAAGACTTTTTTTGTTCTTCTCTAAAAATAAAATTTTTGTTTTTATTCCTTGAATGATAGCTTTTAAATAATTCGTAATCTAGAATTAAAAGAAAATTTAGTCTATATCAACAAAGTTGTATCCTTACTTTGGATTTATTAAAGTACATTTCATTTGTTTACGTTCGAAACGTAACGTTTGAAAATATTTTTGAAAGAACTGGGGAAACAGGAAAAGTACATAGTTTGAACATGTAATGTGTTAAGTTAGTGACTTTAAGATCGGGCTGTACTCCGATCTTTTCAAAATTTTTTAGGATCCGTGTATTTTGAGGCCCTAGTTACAAACATTTAGGTCAAAGTTAACGACTGTTATTTTGGGTTTCTTGCTATTAACTTTCAAAATATGACCTTTTTGGTCTTATTAAAAAATAAAGATTGTAGATAATATGACTTTTTTATGTAATGTAAATTCTAACGGTCACTTTAAAAAAAACTTATTGTTCGTATTTAGAGTCCTAAATTACATGGATCCCAACAATTTTTTAGTTTCGGAGGTACGATACTTTTCGGAAGCTTATCCAAAGATCCTTAGTCCATTGAATATTCTCTGTGACTAAGCACTTGTGTTAATTGTACTATATTTTGTGACCCTTGAGTTGTAGATGTAGTACACTGGTCTGACTTGTCTTTATTCTACTTCTGATCGCATTTCACACTTGCTCTCTCTTTTCCACCGTTTCTCCCTTCTAAACGAAAATCGAAAGTTGTAGAACATAAAAAATAGTTTCTTGTCATCTTGGTCAGTTTTCTACTTTTTCCCTGCTTGCTGCTTACTGCTTACTGCTCCACTGGTTCATTTGCCGGGTGATTTGGAGAACAAAGTTGTTGCAAAAAGAAAAAGGGTGGAAAAACGCGCGCGCACACATCAATGTGAGTGATTTTCAATGGTTGAGGTGTTTGCCCATAAAAACTGCTAAAATAATGAGCTGAAAGGAAAGATTGTGAAAAAGCTGGAAAAGCTCAGAAAATTAGTGGGGCAACACACATATCTGTGTCTTTCTTTTTTTTTGTTAAAAAATAAGTATGTAAATATGTTTGAGGCGCCATGAAAAACCAAAACAAATGCGGTTGGCATTGCACTTTGCTTTTGTCGAGTTTTTCTTCTGCCTTTCGCTCTCGTTTCTGACCAGTTTGTTACAGTTTCTCAATTTTAGACCTGGTTTAGGCTAGGCCTACATATTTCTTTTTATCTTGTTTTTCGCTGCCCAGGGAGCACTTAACACTTAACAGCGGGGCACTAATTTTATGGGGAAATAAATAAAAATAAAAATAAAGCTTTAAACTAAAGTCGCAAGCTTAACTTGACGAAATATATGTAAGTCGTACATTAAAAAACATTAAATTATAATCCATAAACAACAAGCTTTGAACTTAAATCTTTTTGCACTTAAAGTCACTTTGAGTTTTCTGTTTTATTTCCCTTTTAAATTCCACTGTTTTCATTCTTATTTAAAAAATGTTAATTGCATTGATGGGCAATTCTGCTGCAATATCGATGGCGTTGAGGCACATCATTTAATGCCGCTAATTGAATTAGCACCCGCACTTAGATACACCCACACACACACTTACACACTGAATTACAACAAAACGCCAGCAGGAACAACAAATTGGATTAATGCAAACGAATCGAAACGACGAACAAGAAGGGGCAAGAGAAATGTGTAAAAACTACAAAATGGTAAGCGATGGTTTTTTGATGCAAACAAATGGCTAAAACACAGCTACCAAAAATCACAGATACAGATACAGATACAAAATGTTTCTTTCATAATCGACCTGGTCAAGAGACAGAGATGGAAAACGATGAGACAAATACTGCTAGAGAAAGACAGAGAGAGAGAGAGAGAGGGAAAGAGGAAAGGGAGATGGGGTGAACACGACATGATAATAACGGTTTTACAAATTTAGTTGCTCTCTCTGTTTTGTTTCGTTTTGTTTTTTGACTGTCCTTTCACTCTGTGTTTCTTCTTCGTGATTTTTTTTTTAGTTTTTGGTGTTTTGCATTGCCCTCTTTTTGTTCAATGTTTTAATTAAAGCTTTGTGAAAACACCTTTCAGGATGATGATACCTTCATTGACTTCTCTTTTTCCTCCCTTGAGTGCTTTTTGTCGAGTGTCCCAATCGATCTATCTATAAATATTGATACTACTGGTTTTCAATTGTTATTCAAGAACATTTTTAAAAATGTTTACTGATTTGATTGGTCGCCAATATGGTAAAAAGACATTTGTTTGTGTTCTTTAAATGATGAAAATCTAGAATTATCAAATGTGGTTGTTTATATCAAAAAAACTTATCATCCATCCTAACTTTGGATTTGTTTAAAAGCATTTCATCGTTTATGTATTCTGATCGCCCGAATTATAAATAAATAGGTCGAAATTGGCGACAATGTTGGTTTGCAGATAATAACACGTTTTATAGAAAACCTACCATTATCCATTAAGTTCAAGTCAGTTCTTTGATCTTAACGCATCGTATATTGTCAGTTGTTTTCCTAATACCCAAAAAGATTGATTAAGAACTAAACTACAATTTTAAAGATCTACCACACTTAAATAGTAGTTTTGCTTGTTGACTTTTCAACAGATTAACATGAAATGTAGCCATCTTGGTACCATTCATTTTTCTCTATGTATAGTTATTAATTCCATCAAATTGGATGAGTTTGCAAGCCCAATTTCTTTGCGCTTTCAAATCACTCACTCCCTTTTCTTTTTCTTTTTGCCTTTATGTTGCAAGTAAATCGCCTCAAATTACGCGGATCTGCGAAATTGTAGCCAAAGTGCAAATTCATTATGCGGATATGACATGGATCCCTCCATTGCCTGCCCAAGAGAAAAAAGTCACGAACTTTTGCCGCTGAAATGCGAGATGTTCAAATTGGGGGTACAGCGGAGCTCATTAACGCCATATGCCGCCACCGTTAACTACGCATATCGAATATCAAACCCAAAAAACCAAAAAAAAAACCGAAAAAAAAATCCAATAAATCTGTTTGCAATTTTTTTTCGGCCTAACGAAGACATTAATCTAAAATTGTCATGGTGCAGAGGGCTGGATAATAATCAAATCAAAAATACATCAAAGTTTGTTTTTTTGTTTTTTGTTTTTTTGTTTACTGTTTAATTAGTCTATCGACTGGGGCGTGTGTGTGGATAATGTTTTTACTTGCCAGCGGAGAGAGTACGTAAATCCCGGGGCATCGCGGAATTTGCACTTTCCCCTCGTTAAGGTTTTCAGATTCGACTAATGAAATAACGAAATCGCATTCACCATCCGCATTTCAGTCTTTATTAATTGGTCAGTTCGTGAAGCTCTTATTTTGTTGCAGTCAACGTTAATATTTTGCAATTAAACCACAAACAAAGGATTAATTAATCGGACGTTATTTTAACATAAGTTCTAACATTCGCTTATGTGAGAAATCGAATGTAGAGAACAAGTGAGAATCAATTTGGAGTTTATATTCGGCCATTAAGCACAAACATAAGTTAGCGGTAAGATCAATTAGCCATTCTTTTCTTCTTTACCAATAAGATCACAATGTATTACGTATTTGAGGCAAATTTAGCATTTAGCTTGTATTACGTATTTGAGGCTAATTTAGCATTTGTTAAGCATCTTTTTATACCCTTGCCAGAGGGTGTTTAATTTTGTATTAGTTCAACTTTTAAAATACATTGATAATGTTTTAAAAGTCGGACTACTTCATCATAAAGCTTCCTTAGTAATAATGAAGTTGAGTTTTTGCCAATTTAAAAAAAAATCCAACCCACTCCTCTCTGGTTTGATATAGAACCATAAATAAATAAAATATTTATTAAGTATTACAAGGTATATGTACACTTTATCTAACAAGCGATTAAGCAAAATAGGTTTAACAGAATAAAAGAAACAAATTGCAGCGTTGATTTTTCTGTTGTAATTAGTGCCAATTAAATTAAAATCGATTTAATTGCTACAACAAATTTAATGGTTTGATTGATAATGGTTTAAGTCATAGAATAAATGAGAACGGAGGATTTTTGAGTGCTATCAATTTTGATGTAGATTGAAAAGTTAAAGCTTTGAAAATGTTCCATATATTAATCAACAAAAATGTTCCAAAATGAATAAATTTTAGGAAAATACTTTTTTTTTCGATGGAGCTCTAATATATCAAAACTGCCGACTGTTTAAACTATCGTCGATGGGCATAAATTCTTTGGCTTCTTTTGGCCGACTTGTTCTGCTTTTTTTTCGAGGTGCCGTGTTCGCATTGTTGCAATTCTATATATAAATTGGAAGCGGATCCCCCAGCACTTCTCACATCATGCCACACGAAATGAAATGCTTGCCTCTGGTTAATTTTTCGCCATTTCTGATGGTTTTTTTGTTGTTTTTTTTTTGTTTGTTTGTAAGTTTCTTGTTTTTGCCGCTTTTCTTGAACACAAGTCGAAGAATGAAGAGGCAGAAACGGCGGCTAAATATAAAATTATTTGAAGCCAAGAGACCGACAAAAGGCTGAAAAGGAAAAATAAGAAGTAAAACCATGCAATGCCAGACAATTGAGGCAAAAGCAAAAAAAAAAAGAACGAGAAAAAAAGTACAGGGAAACACACACACAATAAAATGCCTCGAAAATAAAACATTCAAAAAAAGATAAGGCGATGAAAAGCGTAGGGTAGAGAATAATAATAGGCGCGGTTTACAATAAATCAGCGAGCGAAAGGAAAATGCTT